TCTATCTATCTATCTATCTATCTATCTATCTATCTACCTACCTACCTACCTACCTACCTATCTTCATCTCCCTCTCCCTCTCTCTCTCCATCCCTCATATATATCTCCCCCCCTCTCTCTTTCTATCTCTCGAACTCTGTCTGTCCGTCCCTCTATCTGCCTGCCTGCCTGCCTGCCTTCCTACCTACCTACCTACCTGCCTACCTACCTACCTAGTAACCTGCCTTTATTATTTTTGCAATAACTCCAGACGGTGAACATATCGAACACACGTTTCTCTTCCTATTTTCCCCCACAACAACCACTCTGTGAGGTGGGTTGGCCTGTGAGGTGAGAGACAGGCACTGGCCCACGGGCACCCAGCTGGCTTTCGTGCCTAAGGCTGGCACTAGAACTCCCCGTCTCCTGGTCAGTCACGCAAAAGTCTCCCAGGCGGCTTCCAACGGAGTGTTTTCCCTTCCCTTAATCCCTCTTGATTCCAGGAAATCTGCTTCTAGATTCCCCCCCCCTTCCTTTTTTGCCCAAACCAGGCCCAAAACAATAGGATTTGAAGTCACGTAGGTGGCAAGTGGCCTCAAAGTTGGCTAGCTGGTTTCGTTGCTTATAAAAAAAAAAAGCAGGCGCATAATTGTCTGGTTGTTGTGTTGTGGTGGAAATGCAGCCTGTCAGAGGAACCAGTTGGACAGAACAGGTGGCTGGGACATGTGTCGGCTTGGTCTGCGAAAGTGTGAGTTGGTGTGTGTGTGTGTGTGTGCGCGTGTGTGTTTGCAAATCGAACGTTTTCCCTTTGGAGAAAGGCGGACAAAATACGCCTGGATTTTGCCCTGCTACAAAATATGTCTTGTTCTTCTGAGGATGTGAATGAAAGAGAACTTCTGGGCCTGAGCGTGCAAAAGTGCAAGACAAGGGTCTTTGGGGGAAGGGGGGGGGAAGCACAGCTGGATTTTGTCCGTATCTCCACCCCTCCACCCCAAAAAATCTTTTCTTGTTCTTCTGCAAAAAGGAATCAAAAGAAAACATGTGTTGGCCCGCATGCAGTTTGGAGAAAAGTGGAACAAACATCTGGATTTTGTTCTTACCCCCCAAAAAAGCACGTTCTTCTTCTGTGAACGGGAACAAAGGAAAAACCCCGGTGTGTTTTTGTGTGGGTGCAGCACACACTTCATGGTCTTTGTTCCAGGTCTAAGGAGAACTTTTGAGTCCAAAAAGGTGGGTGGGAATTTGAGAATGGGCCAGACAGGGGTGTGTGCCGCTTCCAAGTTCGGTCTTTGCGTGTGTACAAAGCTGCATACGTCCTTGTATGCTTTGGCTGGTGTGCGTGTGTCTTCGGCTGATTGAATCCTGAAGGGAAGTGACATCAGCTGGCCTGGGTGAAGGAATTTTCTTCCACTTTCCTTCTTTGCCGATAAAAGCTGCAGGTTTGGGTTTTGCAAATGGATTTTCCCCTCGGTTTTTTGCAAAACTTCCTTCTGCAAATGTTGGGGAAAATTATTTTAGGTTGGATAAGAGATCTGTTTGCTTTAGAAAAGTGGGAATCCAACAAAACTGGCAAAAATGAGCCAAAAAGGTATCACCACAATGTTGGAAATGTAACACACAGTGTTAGGGACATATTATCACATGTGGTGCTCATGCACCAAAGCTAAAGAGTTTTGGTGGCAAATTAAGATACGGTTGAAAAAGATTCTTGGCCAAAAAGTGGAGTTCAGACCAGAATTGTTCCTAGTGGGAATTATAGAAGGAAAAAAAAGTAGTAAAGGAATAATATATTTAATGTTGCATGTTATAACTGCTGCAAAATTGGTCTGTGCCCCAAAGTGGACGAATGGGAATATCCCCGAGGAAAGTGAAACAATAAAGAAAATTTTGGTCTGTGCAGGCTAAGGTTAGAAATTAAAGATAAGGGTGAAACCGAATATTATGAAGTCTGGAACAAAATGTATCAATGGTTAGACTCAAAGAAAGGAAGTCGGAATTTAAAAAATTGTGATGCTTTATAAGACGGAAGGTGGAAGATTTTTAAGCTAAAGACAATGTTAATAGAGTGGATATAATGACTATGTAAAAAAAAAGTGCAAGGAAATCATGTAAATATAGAATAAGGAAGAGATGAGTTGTGACATGTTATAGTATGTATGGCAAAATAATTGCCACGAAAGTTGCATTGTGTGCAACTGTTTTAATGTTTATTCAATTTTTTTTTCAAAAAAAGAAAGAAAAGAAAAGCGGCATTGGAAATGAGCTCAGCTCAGAATTCCTTCAGGATAATATCCGCCATGGTTTTTTTTGGCAAAGGAGAAAACGGTTATTTATTTATTTGCAGGTAATAAATAACTTGCAATGGCCCCTTCAAGTGAGCATTGGAAGTGAGGAAAAGGGGGTGGAAGCGGCATGGCCACTTTTCACACTTACGACTGCTGCAGCACCCCCCCCTCCCGTGGTCACCTGATCAAAATCACGTGGCTCGGCCACCGACTCATATTTATGACGGTAGCAGTGTCCCGGGGGTTAGGGGATTCCCTTTTGCGACCTCCTGACTGGCAAAATAATTAATGACAATGTCAACTCATAAAATATTTCTTTTTAAAATATGGTCTTTTTAGAGTTGCCAAGAGAAAGGGGGCGGGGGGGCGGAAAGGGGTTTGGAAGAGCAGTGCGGCAGCTTGGAAATCGAAAGCGCATTCCTTAACATAGTTTTTCAAAGATAGTAATAGTGACTGAAGTTTCTGCCAGGCAAAATTCTAACTGGAGAACATGATTGATGACTCTGGGCTATGGATGTGTCCTATTGGAGAATATGAATTGTGATGCACCCAGGGGATAAGGGAAAACCTGGGACAAGGGTGACAACGATCTGCCTCAGAGTCGGCTACTGTTGTGGTTCGCCGGCAGCCGGTGCATCCGACAGAGGGGAAGAACAGGGACCAGTCTGGGAGTCTGGGGAGGACGCGGATGAGGGTCCTGCGTCTGATGCAGAGATGGGACCGGGGCCGTCTGGGAGTGGGGTGCTGCCTCTGGAGCCTCTGGAGTCTGGCAGCAGCGAGGCAGAGGAATAAGGGGAGCCTGTTCCCAGTGCGCGTATGTGCAGAGCTGCTAGATGGTGAGAGCAGCTGAAACAAAAGGGGCAACTCGGGACTAAAGCTGGAAGGTGATTGCCCAAGGGATAAAGGACAGGCAAAGGTAGAGAAACCTTTGCAGGAAGCAAAGTCGTTTGCTCTGTTCGGATTCAACCTTGAAGCTCTTTGTATTTCGGTTGGTTTCTTTTCTAGTTCATTGGACCCTTCTGTTATGGGCAGCACTTCACAGGAAAGAAAGGTGGGTGCTGATCTCGAGGGACTGTTTTGAGATTCATTACAGGCTGGGAATGAAAATAATTCCCAGCGTTGCAATTAAACAAGACTTGTTTTTAAAATAAGCATGTGCGTAATTACGGTCTTGGGAGCCTTGGTCAGAACAGCTACACCCAGGCAGTGCCGGATATGTTAGCTCCCAATAAATCCTTTTGAAGGTTGGGAAGTTTGGCTCAAGACTCATGATTTAAATGGGGATCATTGCCGGAATCCTGACAGATGGTGTGACTAACAACTGCAGTGGTTCGCTTAACAACAATGGCAAGAAAGGCCGTAAAACGGGGACAAAACTCACTTAAACAATGGTCCCCCTCTGCACCAGACATTTTGGGCTCAGTTATGGTCGTAAGACGAGGACTACCTAGACAAAGCGATTTGCACGCCCAAATTATACATGCAAACTCATTTCGGGGCTGGCAGATTCCTTTTGATTTCTGCCACCTACGCTCCAAAATTATTTATTATTATTTATTATTGGCAAACCCCTCCAATCACGTGACCCCGGGACACTGCGACCGTCTTAAGTGTGAACCCGTTGCCAAACGTCCAAGTTTTAATCACGTGATAAACGGGGGATGTTGCAATGGTCGTCAATGTAAAAAACGGTCCCTTTTTTCAACTTGGAACGGTCATTAAACGATAGTGTCAGGAGTCCAACAAATCCACCCCCGTTCAAATCATAAGTCTCGAGCTGCGTCTCTCAGAGAAAAGGAAATTGATTTATTAGAAGTGGCTATGTTGGCATTAGCTGGGTGCAACCAACACTAAAATACATCCTTCATTTCCCCCTTGAGCTTGGTCTTCCCTCCACCGCCTGGATGTATATTCTCCAATGGGACACATCCATAGCCAAGAGTCATCAATCAGGCTCTCCCAGTAATACTCTTGCGCGCCAACAGCTTTGGGCTGCCAGGGTGATTATTTAGGCACTTAAGGAATGCACTGTTTTCCCTCACTCCCTTTTTCTGGCAGCTAAAAAGACCCAACGGAGTATCTTTTTAGTTGACAGATAGGTTGTAAGTTGAGAACCGCTCAGTTGATCCAAGGTTCGTATCAGCGGTTTTCGCCTGCCAGGGAAGATCTGGAGGGCTTGAAAAGGCCAGTCTCGAAAATAAATCTGTGAACACTTGGCGGATGACAGGAAACGACACAAATGGCATTTTGGAGGAGGAGGAGGCGTCTGCCAGGACGTGGCCTGGTTTCCTCCTCCTGTTTATGCTCTTCTTGCGAAGGGGACGTAAACAAATGCCTGAGGAGATTCTCCGTCAGGTCATCGGTTGTCCCAGGGGTGCCTTTTTTTTCCTTTTTTTTTCAGGGGGCAACCGGATTGTCTTGTTTTTTTGCTTTGGAAGACGTTTCGCTTCTCATCTAAGAAGCTTCCTCAGTTCTGACTGGATGGTGGGGGAACGGAAGGATTTGTCAATTCTTCAGTCAGAGCTGAGGAAGCTTCTTGGATGAGAAGCAAAATGTCTTCTACAGAAAAAGCGAGAAAATCCGTTTGCTTCTTGAAAAAAAGCACCTTTTGGGAAAGAAGGAATGGAAAGGAAAGGAAAGGAAAAGAAAGGAAGAAAAGAGGAAGGGAAGGGAAGGAAAGGAGGAAGAAAAGAGGAAGGGAAGGGAAGGAAAGGAAAGGAAAAAGAAAGGAAGAAAACAGGAAGGAAAGGAAAAAGGAAGAAAACGGGAAGGAAAGGAAAAAGAAAGGAAGAAAAGGGGAAGGGAAGGAAAATAAAGGAAGAAAAGAGGAAGGAAAGGAAAGGAAAATCTCTGTGGAGATTCTCAGTCATCTGGTTCGTGGGTGTCGCAGAGGTGCTTTTTTTTATAAGAGGCACCTGGACTTTCCTGTTTTTTTCTTTTGAAGATGTTTCGCTTCTCATCCAAGGAGCTTCTTCAGCTCTACACTTTCAGAATGGACTTTCAAGAAGAGATTGGACTGCCATTTGTCAGAAATGGTGTAGGGTCTCCCGCTTGGGTGGGGGGTTGGACTAGATGACCTACAAGGTCCCTTCCAACTCTGATTATCTGTTATCTGTTATATAGAAATTGGTCTTGACTTACGACCCACAATTCAGCTGTTGCTAAACAAGAACAGCGGTTGTTCTTTCTTACTATCTTCCCTGCCACCGTTGTTAAGCGAGTCCTCGCAGTTATTAGCCACCTGGTTGTTAAGTGAACCTGGCTTTCCTGTTGACGTGTCAGAAGGTTGGGAAAGGGGATTATGGGGCCCCAGGACGCTGTGACCATCGTAAATACAAACCAGTTTCCAAGTTTTAATCCCCTGACCATGGGGATGCGGCCACAGTTGTAGGTGTGAAAAACGGTCATAAGTCGCTTTTTCAGGGCCTTGAAACTTCAGTCATTAAATGTTCTTATTAGGGATAATCAGAGGTGAATACCAGAAAAACATTGAATATATAAAAACACACATGACTGACTGCAGCTAGAATAACGCGTGCCTCAAATTGGAAATTAGAGATAGAGGTAGATTGCAAGGGCGACTCCGAAATATAATGTTATTAGATTTGATCTATATCTTAAATTATTGTACATTATCACAATTTTATTTTGGATTGTATTTTATCACTGTTTCATCTTAAATCGTATTTTGTCTAGATTCCATTTTAAGTAGTATTTTATCAAATTTCATTTTGAATTGCTTTTATGAAATGTTAGTAACAAATCGTTGCTGGAACTTTGCACTTTGATATGGCCCAAGGGCTAATCAGTAAAGACTTATTATTATTAAAATTATAAAGATAATAGATAATATGATTATAAAGAAAATTATGGATTGTGCAGAAATGAATAAACTTACAACAGAATTGCAGGAGAAGGCAGAAAAAGGATACTATACGGTCTGGGAAGAATGGATATTTGGTTAGATAATAGGAATAAAAGATAATGCAAAATATAGATGTAAATGATGTGTGTGTGTATGTATGTATGTATGTATGTATGTATGTATGTATGTATGTAAATGAAAATGGAAAAGTCGATGCCACAACTTACTGCAAAAATTGTATATATGATTTGTTTTTAAAAGTGTAAAAGTTTAATAAAAAGTATTTAAAAAAAGAAAAGAAAAGAAACTTCAGTCACTAAACGAATGGTTATAAGCTGAGGATTACCTTTGCAGTCTCTAAAGAGGTTCTTCTGCTCAGAACTTTAAAGCAGGCATCGAAAAGGCTTGATCAAATCCAGAGGTGCCCCCATTTCCCATGACCCCTGCTTGGATGCCAACCGGAGTATTCGATTTCTTTTATTTTATCCCAGAGGACAATAGTGGGGACGTACGTACTCATGGTATGCTAGGCCTTTTCCTGCCAGATCTTCTTGTACAAATCAAGCTTTATTATCTCCAGAAGGTGCCCACAATTTCCTTCCCTAACGGTTGCAGGCAGTTTGCTGTTGTAATGGTTTCAGATTCTTTAGAAGAAGAAGAAGAAAAAGGGAAAAATAGGAAAAGCAAAACTTGCTACGTGGCAGTTTCCTTCTTGCTTTTGTGAAATCAGCCATATTATCTATAGAGAGAAGACAAATCGGTGGCAAAGGGTTTGCATCTGTGTATGGGTGTGTATATGTGTGTATGTGTGTAAAGGCATATATGTAAACATGCATACAGACGCGGATTAAGGCTCACTGGTGCCCTAAGTACTGACAAATCTTGCTGCCCCCTTTATATATACACTGTACAAACCAGGCCAAGTTTAGGCTGGATAAAAGTTTTTGTGGTGCCCCCTTTGGAACTGGTGCGATAAACATGTGCTTAGTCTGCTTAATGGTTAATATACCAGTGCATGTATACATTCCCCCCTTGTAGCTAAATCAAAATCCGGTGTGTAAGAAATTTGATGGCATTGGCCTATAGTAGTTTTTCGATTTTGGTGACTTTAAGATGTAACTTAAAGCATCTGGCAACTCCCAGAATTCCCCGGTCAGAATGTGTGGACTTCGACTCCCAGAATTCCCTAGTCAGAATGTGTGGACTTCGACTCCCAGAATTCCCCGGTCAGAATGT